TCTCCTATCTTCTACACACGGGCGGCTATGGCCGCCGTTGTCTTCCTCCTTCTAGCGGCTATGGCCGCTTGCCCTCTTCAACCCGGGCTCTCCTGCTGACCACCTGTGACTCAACGCACAAGTCACTCAAGCAGCGCTTCCGCGTAGTCTGTCTCAGAATGAGTCCATGACTGATCGCTGCCTCTTTATTTATACTGTTTCGTTTGGTGGTCTGGGCCTGCCCGATGTCCCAGGCCCTCAAGATGTGCAGTCCCACTCTGGTACTTGCTGCAAAACGGACTGGACTGGGACTGCCTTTTCATGTGCCCCTTCGAGGTTGACTTGGGACTCTGGACCTTTCAGAGATTTGGCGGGCTGCTTCTACTGACTTCGAGCGGTCAAGTTGACTCTTCGCAACCTAACCTAGCCACGACCTACTGACCTTTCGGAGGACGTATGGCCAGTTGACCTTTCAAAAGGTCAACTGTAAACTTGCCTTTTCGGGACACCTAGAGACAACCCTAAGACTTCTAAACAATAGACCTACGGATCAAATCCACACGACCCGCGCTTCACACTCAAGGCATTTATACACGGGTTTGGGGACAGGTCGTGGGTTCAAGGCACACGGGGTCAACGAACAACACAAACGTACTGTACACTAGGTTGGGGAAAGTCTGGGGATCAAGCCCCGGTGTCTGCAATTGTTGCACGACCTGGGTGAAACCCTTTCAGAAGGAAAGATAAGGCGACAGTGGAGAGGCCGGCTGAAAGGTAATCATACGCCAATAAATATTAAATATAAATCAGAGAGGGATTCATGACTAGTTCAGATAGTTCAGTACTTTATCTCACCTCCAGGAACTTCATCCTCTGCACTCACTGATTAACAATGTATCGAGACCAGTCAGAAAAACAAAAGGAAAATGAAGAAAGCAAGCGAAGCATTCCATGGGGCCCAGGCATGGGATGCGTATATTTCTGGAAGCTAAAAGGCAGGAAAAGATGGGTTTCACATAGGGGAATAACGAAGTTGTCCCTTTGAAGTTCTAAAACACAAAATGTCCCTTGTCAGAATGTGCCTGCGAGGTGCATGCCACCCAGTGCATGATATGCACCGAGGTGGTCAAGATGCCCAAATGCACTCTGAGGAGTCCGACGGGGGAAGCAATGTCGCTTCAATTCTTGGTGAGACCATCTTTGAAACCCCCACTTGGTGACCATAATCCAAACAAGCAGACTCTCCACATACTCCCCCCTCTGTTCCCCTCCCTCCACTCAGAAAGAAAAGAAAATCAATGCAATATAAATGCTGACATGAAATCTCATGCAGAAGGGGACGGCGGAAAAGCATGGTTAGGCTGAAAGAAGCCAAGTATGGAGAGGAGAACTAGATTCGTCACAAGTGCACACGTATACATGTACACGCACACACGCACACACACACACACACACACACACACACACACACACACACAGAGTTAGTTTTATGTTTGTATGTTTTCCTGTTGTTGTCTGTCCTCCCCCTGCGTATAATCGTGATGTGAGTAGGTCATGCGCTGCTTTGCTCTGTGTTGGATGTGTGGACTGCCTCGTCTGCACTCCATCGTCACCTTGCTGCCTGTCCCGCTTGCTTTGCATGTGGTTCTCTGCAAGTTGCTGTGTTTGCTGTGTGGTGTGGCCATGTTGTCTGTGTTCCCTTGCGCTTTGCTGCCCTGCTGCCTTGCTGCCCATCTGCTGGCCGTGCCTTCCGTGTTCGTCACTTGTGTGCCTTGTAGGTTGGTTGCCTTGTTGTTGGTGCCTTGTGCTCTGCTCCACGGTTACCGAGCTGCTGGTCCGCTCGCCCTGTCGTCCTTTGCAGTGTGGTTACCTTGCTTGTGTTGCCTTGTGCTTCACTACACGGTTGCCATGCTGCATGTCCTGGGTGCCATGTCGTTCCTTGCAGTCATTTTTGGCGTTATGCAGCTGTGTTGCCTCTACTGTGCTGCCTGGTGCTCCACAGGGTCGCCGCCCGCTGCTATGTTCCGCTTGGGGACAGTCTGCCTTCAACAAGGGTCAAAGGGTGCATGACCCAAAGCATCAAATATGGAGATTCCCATAGATTGTCGAGGGTTCAGCCTCCTGATGAGTCGGTGCAACTCCGATGGAACAATCTATCGTCAGCTTTTATTTTTTTCGGTTGGTGTTTTTGTCTTGTTGTTGTTTGACTTGCCATCGTTCCCCTGCTGCCTTATGCTGTTCGCCTGCCCATCTGCCTACCCTATGCCTTTGACCAGGTGTGCGTTGTTGCCTTGAACTGTTTGCCAGCCCATGCCATCCAGTCGAGTGTGTGCCTTGCTGCCTTGCACTGTTTGTCTGCCCATCCACGTTCCCCATGCCCTGGAGCCTATGTCTTTTGCTGCACTGTCTTTCGTGCCTTGATGTTTTGTGCTGTTTGTTTGCCCCCGTGCCCTCCAGCCTATGTCCTTTATTGTTTGTACTGTTCAACTGTCAATGTTTGGTTCACCATGGGGTTATGTGAGAATTGTCTTCAAGTTGTCTAGTGCATGGGTCTCTCCTTGGGGGTCGCCGGGCAGAGTACACTTGTTGTGTACTGAAGCTACACACACAGCACCACACACACACACTCCAGTCTTGCTAGCTCTCTGTCTTGGAAGATTTGAGCGGCTGGGATAGAGCTCGTACTAGTGAGCTACTCTCGTTTTTGTGGTTGGATAATTTGTTGGTTGGTTGTTCTTTATTCATACATGGCCTAATTCTTTGCCCTGCTTTAGAGCATGGGCTGTCTCTTGATGAAGGCATGTTTGTGGGTGGCCGCAAATTTTTTGGGCGTGAATCTTTGTTTGGAGTCATGGTCACGGAATCTTCACGAGGAGGCTCAGAGAGTCTTTGTTGTGGGTGTCACTCCCACGGGCTGCCCTTTTGGAGCACATGGAAGATGGTGGCGCTTCCATGGTGTTTTAAGCAGTAGTGCTCCTGGTGTTGCGTGGAGATTCTGTGAATGTATGCTTGGAGTTCTGGCCACAGTATCTTGGCGAGGAGGTTCAGACAGTGTTTGCGGTGGGTGCCATTCGTATGGGCTGCTCTTTTGGAGCACATGGAAGAAACGGGGACTTCCAGGGTGTTTTAAGCAGTAGCCCTCCTGGTGTCACGTGAAAATCTTGTGGTCTCTGGGATTATGGTACTCTATACATTCCAGAGGCTAGATAGCAGATGGGGACTGTCTAGCCATGGAGTGATGGAGATAGTGGTGGCATGAGTGGGTCGTTTGGGAGGAATAGGAGTGTCAATGTTGCTGTGCTTGTGGGCCGGCTTGGATGACTCTTTAAGTCTTTTTCGGACTACTGTGGGATCTAGTCGGTGCTTTCTTGCTGGTGGAGCCTTCTGTGTTAGGTGTGTGGCCTTCTGCCATTTATGTTTGTTTTTAAGATTGAAAAAACTGTACATATTTGTGCAGGACGTGTGTGTGGGCACTTCCCGCTTAACCAGACAAACGTGGGGAACCTTGCACCTTCTCTTATATTGCTCATCTATACTTCTTTTGTTTATGGATGGTTTGTGCTGGTTTGTGGATGGAATGAGAAAGAGAGTTTGGGGATGCTGAACACACACACACAATCACTTTCAAAAAAGAGCTTTTACAAGTGGATAGACAGTGTCAGACACGTGCACAGACATACACATCCAAACACATACACAATCAGTTTTATGTATGTCTTTTTTCCTACGTACTTTCTTTGTGTCAGGGTGTTTAAATAGTCCGTGGCAGGTTGTTTGGAGTGCCTGTAACACTACTAGGGGGCCTTCTCAGTTCAGGATGTCTGTGGGTGAAGTTTCATGGCTGATGAAAGATGTCCATCAGAGGGGCTCCCTGGCTCAGCAGGTGGTAGGAACCAACAGTCTTCCAGGTTTGACTTGTGGTGTGAGTAGGTGATGCATTCAGTTTGGTCTGCGTTGGATGCGTGGACTGCCTTGTCTGCGCTCCTCTGGTGCCTTGCTGCCCACCCGCTTGCCATGCCTCTCCCTGCAGTTTGTCTGTTTTCCATGTAGTTTGGTTGCCTTAAGAGTGTTGCTCTGTGCCTCAATGCCTTGCCGATTTGCTGTCCATCCACGTGCCTTGTCTTCCCGTGCGTTTTGCTTGTAAGCAGTCTAGTTTTGGCCACTTTTGCAGCGCTGCCTTGTCCTTCGCTGTGCTGTTGCCTTGCTGCTTGTCCGCTTGCGCTGTTATTCCATGCAGTTAGCTTTGGCGTTGTGTAGCTGGGCTGCCCTGTCAGTGTTGCCTGGGGGGTTGCTGAATTGTTGCCTTTGCTGCTCTGTTCTGCTTGTGGTGTTCTCCTGCAGGCTGTCCACTTTCAACATGGGTTGAAGGAATCCATGGCTCAAAGCACCAATATGGGGACTCCGCAGATGGTTCAGGGTTCAGCCTCCTGATGAGTCGGTGCAAGCTCATCGGAACAAGCTTATCATCATCAGTTTTATTTTTTTTGGTCCTTCTTGTGTTTTTTTGGTACTTGCACTTTTTTTCTTTACTTTTTTGCTTGTGTGGGTTTTGCATGCTTTTTTTGGGTGTTTTCTGCCTTGACACCTTTTGCCTTGCTGCTTGGCCTCATTTGCTTGGTTGTTCTTCTCTCTTCCCCCCCTTCCCTCCCCCTGTTTTAAAGCCGATGACCCTTGCTTACCTTCAATGCACTACCATGCCTGGTCTGTGAATGCTGCCTTTTCTTGCTTTGTTGAGGGCCGGGAGATGAGTCTTTTTAAGGTTTCATGAAAGCGCACTATCCAACGCAAACATGCTGTGACACTACCACGGAAGTTTCGTTCCCCCAAACACACTCGCATAACGAGAAAAACACACTCGCATAACAAGAAAAACACACTCGCATAACGAGAAAAAGAAAGAATGAAAGAAAGTGGCGGATGGCATGAAACCAGACAAGGAAGGGACAGAGAAGAGGGATGCTTGCATGGACCATCACGAGGATAGTTTGCATAGGGAAGGGCCGGAGGGGGAGGGAACGTACATGGCTTGCAAGGAGTAGCACAAGAAAATTGATGAGGAAGGACGACCAGGCAGTTTCAAAGACAAATCCAGTTGCTCTTTCCATGCGCCTCATGAGGGGGATGATTCGCAACAACCTCGGCACAAACTGCAGAAGTATGATTAGCAGCAGATAGGTCTTGAAACTGACGACGAGGCTATCCTGCCGCTTTATCTTCGCATCCAAATAAGGAAGAAGAACCCATATTGCCAACTGGAAAAGAGAAAAAGAAACAGCAGAGTCAAACGGGAACACTGCAGTTTGAGCGAATCCTTCTTTCCGTAGCGATTACAACTGTCACTGTCAAGAATTATCCCTATTTTCTAACAAAGTTTCACACTAGCCCTTCTTTTTTTCTCTAATTTCACAAATTCACACGAACGCTTCACTAAACGAAGAGAAAAACGAGTAGAGGAAGGAGGTGTCCTCACTGACAATTGACCAAGCATTCCGGCCTTTTTTTCCATGTGTCTGTCGAAGAGTGTCCCCTTTTGAGCTACGAGCAATTGCTCACACCTGTCACCTTTTTTTTTGGTCAAACGTCGTCTCCACAAGGCGCCTAAGCATCAACTTATTCATCAGAATTATATGTACCAGCACCGATAACTTATACAAAATCAGAAAAAAACGAAAAGTGAACTAATACTAATCGGCAACATTCCAATAATGACGGCCAGAGGGAATTTTATTATTAATGGAGCTTGTAGAGTTTGTCAATCTACATTACCATTCGGACAGTGATCTCTCTGAAGACTATCTATCCTATCTTTGCACGCAGTGTTGTAGACTAAGCTCTATTTTGAACTCCTTTTTTAGTCGTTTCCTACTTAAATAAGAAGTTGTTTACCTCTTGAGGAATATGAGCATGAGCGATAGACAGAAATCCAAGTTGTGAAATCACGAAGTAGCTCAGATAGTCATGAACCAAGCAGAGAGTGCAATGCACCAGGATACCGTCCAAATAAGAGCAATACAATGAACTCGAATGTCAATGTCGCCACTCTCTGGTCACACCAACACTGTATCCAATGTTGCCCTTACTGTCTGGCGCCCAGCGCCCAGCCTATCCTACTCAGCCTATCTAACCTATCTACGTTCTCGCAACTGGATCACTCTGAAGTCGAAGACCAATGTACATGACGTCAACACCAATGTCGATCTCCATCATACACTGGGTACGTTCTCTCTCCTCGTGTCATCACCCCTCATCTCCGCCCCCTTCCCCATCACCTGCCTTGCGCCCCTGCACCCCGTATATGGCTGCTGTGCGCCCGCTGCCCTTGCAGCACCCCTCACCTCAGCGCCCGTGCGCGCGTCCGACCAGCAGCGCCCATGCAGACGCTTGCGCAGCAACGCAGCAGCGTGTCCACATTGCCTGCCTAGGCCAGAATGCCCCTGCCTGGGCTGGCTTCTTTCAAGTCGGGCCCCAGTCTCTGCGCCCAGGCCCACCTCTACAGTGAAGGGCCTGGGCCCTTTTCGTTTGGGCACATATAGGTAGCCTCCCAGGCTCCAAGGCTTGGCCACATTCTGATTGGCTTGCGGAGATTGTGTGCTGACAATGCTGCTTTCTCATTCGTCCGTGGCCGCTGCGTGATGTGTCAGCCTCACGCTGCATGTGCCCAGGGTGCAACCACCCGTCCCTGGGCTCAACAGTACAGCGCAGTCCTTGTTTTATGGAAAGAGCCTGGAGGCTCATGTTTCCCTGCAACCAACGGGCATGCTGCAACTGTCTGTGTACCCATGTATGGAAAATGTCGAAAATAGGCCTCTTGTGGATATTCAGGCCCGCCTTCACTTAGGGCAGGCACAAGGCTTGCGGGGGCCCACGACCAAGAACACTTGCATGTCTGTTAAGGCCCCGTGAGGGCTCAGTACTCGCATTCCATCCCCCTTAGCTTTGGAAGTCCGCTGCGATGCTTCTACGCAGGTGCCTTTACCTTCAGTCTTCGTTCGTAGTCTGCCACAATCTGAGGTGCTGTTCTAACAAGCTCCTCCTTTGTGAACCAACGATCTTCCTTTGGAGCCTTTCCATTGAAACCACCTCAGACCTTCTCTGGAGACAAGAAGGATGAGGCACTTGACACTTGGTTGACAACGGTTCAAGTGTGGGTAAGGGCGAAGAGGACGTTGCGCGAGGAAGAGGTGATCACTGCTGCCTCATACCTTGAGGGATCGACAGCGAGATGGCTAGATGGACTAGTGGCATCAAAGGGTTTCGGTAGGCGGATGAATGACTGGCAACATACCCATACTTTAGAGAGTTTTAAGGAGTTAATTGAGACGTGATGGCACAACCCTCAGCAGGCCCAGCAGGCCACTGATGCATTGGCCCGACTTGATACTAGAAAGTACAAGTCCGCGCAAGAGCTCACCAATGTCGTCGAGAAACTCTTTGTCGTTCCTGGTGTCCGCTACGATCCACAGGAACTGCTGACCATGTTCTTGAGATGTCTTCCCACATACATCAAGAACTTAATGGTCAGTGAGGAAAGCATCGAATATCATACTCTTGATTCCTTCAGCAAGAAGGCCTTAGTGTTACGAACTTGGTTGTCTGACGAATTTTATCGCCACTCACACACATACAATCTCACACATGCCCATACATGCGTAAGAGAAGGGGAGAGAGGAGACAGAGTCCAAACTGTACACAGGTGAAAATGAGCAGCGGAAGACAATCATGCACAGATGGGGAGAAGACACACAGTGTTTCTCACTCTCTGACACAACTCCCAACAACCAATCACAATTAGAATCTGCGAAGATCACAATTGGAATTCACACGGATGATGAACCACTCAAACAATTATCGTAACATAGTTTGTTCCAGTATCTCGCCACTCTCAGAACTCACACCCCACTCTCTATCCTACACCCAGTTAGTAGCGCCACATCAGATTGGCCTCCCAGAGGCCAGCGCCAACCACCCTGATGAAGAACAGGTCCTGCGATGAAGTCTTCAGTGCCGATGGACAACTCTGACGAAGGAACAGGCAGCTATGGCTGCCACCACCCACGAACACACACTGTAGAGCCTCGATACAGCCCGGCCATACGCAGATACCCCCAGGGGTAGGTGCGCTGAGGATGCCCCAGTTATGGCAGACTCAGAGAGGACCGGCTATGGCTGCTGTCACGGTGCGTCTCAGGATGCCACCTGCAGACCGTCACCGCCACCAACTTCCTTGGCTTCTCCAACGCTGCTTCGCGAGAAATGAACTGCCAAAAAGTCCCGAATCGATGGGCCTGACCTATCTATAGACTCTCTAGACCTAGACCGGACTGACTGACCGACCGGTACCGTTGCTGTTTTGTCCTCTCGGCCTCTACCGGATATAGGCTATAGGACCGTCTAGCAGCATAGGCCACTTAGGGCCTGTCTGTCCTAGGGGTAGCCCGGGCCTGCTATAGGCAGTTAGGGTAGCTGTAGGAATTCGGGTTAGTACTGGGCCTGTATTTTCCCAGATTTGCAGATCTGTCCCTCACGAATTTCCCTACAGGCAGGTTTCTCGGTTAGCCCTCAGCCAAACAAAATTGTGAATCTAACCCTACCGGTTAGTGTACAGCCTCGCAGTCAATCTCGGCAGTCGAAATCAGCAAGTCATTGCATTAGGCTTGGAGGCTAAGCTAGGAGGAGCACAACAACCTGCTACAGACGGTAGGAAGAAGAAGACCCCACAAGAATGGAAAAAGAAGGGTAGTCAATTGATGATGGTTGATTCTGATGGGAATCGAACCGGGATCGATGATCTTTTTGATCTTGTGGAGGAAACAAAGTTAGGCAGTGAGGAGAGTGCAAAGGGTAGCAACCTCGCGAAAATAACAAAAGGAAAGGCAACTGGCCGCGACAACGACGGTCAGCAAAAGAGTCAGGGGCAGGCCCAAAACTCAAACAAGATTCCAACTTGGGTGAGGGCGGGCCTGGAACAAGATGTGTGGAGGGAAAGATATTTGCAAGGAGCTTGCATCACCTGTGGAGGATTTGGAGGAGCTTCCGCCCAGGGAGGAGCTTCAACGAGCTCAAGCCAGGTAAGCACATCTGGCCAGTAGAAGTTATAGCTGCCTCTACTCATGTTGAAGTGGTTGAAGTACCCTCTGCACTTCATGAGTTGACCGAAGCTATTGACTCGTTAGTCACCCCGCAAACGCATCTGGAGCAAACAACACTATGTTCATTAGATGTGTTTGAAGCCTTAGAAGACTTAGAAACCGAGTAGTCGGCAAGGGAGCCTCGTGAGTCTTGAATGGCACTGTCAAGAGGTCCTAAAGGGGAGCACTTCATTGTGGAAGTCGGTGTAGGTGGCCACAAGTGTGGCGCCTTCGTAGACATTGGCTCCGCGTGGAACTTCACAAGTCGCAATTGCGTTGAGAGATTGCGCCTAGGGGACCGGGTGCAGCGCTTGAGTAGACCTGTAGCATCTACTCTAGCCAACAAAGAACACATGTTGGTTAAGGACTACGCCAAGGACGTGGTCTGCACCTTCTCTTATGGAGGTGGGGAACTTAATCATCAGATTTCGTTCCTAATTAGCGACGACTTACCATTCCATATGTTGTTAGGTATGTATTACCTCGAGGTTGCCAAGCCCCAGTTTGACCAGGACCGGAAAGTGCTCAAGCATGTGTTGCCTGATGGGAGGACCGTTAAACTAGCTAAGTACAAAGCTAGAAGGTTAGTTGACTTCTATGAGTGCATGTGTGCAACTACGTTTTACAATTACTATAAACAGAACCAAGAGGAGGGTATGTACTTAGTCTTTGTCTCTAAGAAAGGGGAGGTCGTTAAATCACCCCCAAAGATAGAATTTGTCATTGCTAAATACCCTGATCTGCTTGAGGAGCCTTCAAGAGTCGAAGACAGTGAGGTTGTCCATGTCATAGAGATCATCCCCGGTAGCAAGACACTGGAAGGGAGAATCTATAGGATGGTTCCTACCGTGTTGAACGAGGTTCGTTGGCAACTAAAAGACCTCAGAGAGAAGAGTTGGATTCGGTCTAGCTTTTCCCCTTCGGCTCACCAATACTATTCATTCCTAAGAAGGGGGGATCATTGAGGATGTGCATTGATTGTAGAGGCCTCAATCCCATCACCGTTAAGAACGCAGAGCCTCTACCCCGCATCGACGACCTTTTGGATAGGGTGCAGGGATGTAAGTACTTCACTAAGATAGATCTGAAGTCCGACTACCATCAAATTGCCATGAGACCAGAGT